AAACATCACACTCTTTAGATCAAACTCTTGTTTATATAAAATTTAAGATGCTTTAATCCGAAGCTAAATAAAATTTATGTTCATTTTTTGCCTTATATATTTACATGTGAATTTTAAATGCCTTAAGAAATGCATAATTGAATGCCTGGAATATAGTGAGTTAATTAGTAGATAAAGAATTTAACATGTCATTCATTATGATACCATTTATTTGAGGTGTGCATTGTTTGAATAAAATAATAATAATAATAATAATAATAAACTAAAATGTTATTTGTAGTTTGGCCCAGTTTTTAAAGAATTGGTATTTAAATTTTATATAAACATTATTTATTATGAAGGTTTAAAATTATGTATTTGGGTATTAAGGTATTTTTTTTCGTGACGCAAGGCGTAAGTCTCAAATTTTAAAAAATTATATATATTAATAAATATTGTATAAACTATAAAGTGTGAAGTAATAAATAACATTTTAATATTATAACATATCAACACATTAAAAATTATATAATTTCTAACCATGTAAAATGTAATAAATTTTACGAAATAAAAAGTAACACATTTATATCTTAACATCAAATCATGCAAAATAATAAGCTATACAAGCATTAAATCATCAAATTTAGTTAAGATATAAGATTAAAACCTAAAATTTTAAAACATAATAATCAAAATAAATTCAACATAAGTCTTTTCCTCCCCTCATAACCCCCCTCACTCAAGTATAATCCAACAATTCATTGACATTTAAAATTTTAAATTTAGAAGTTCATGTTGTCCTCATCACCCAATGAATTTTCACTGGAATAATCGGCATAATGAATTGTTTAACCCACCACACATCTTCGGTCTTATCCATATGCTTTCATTCCTCATTTTTAATCTCAGTTATCTTTTTATTTTTTGCTAAATAATCATCAATCAAAATGTTAATTAAAATAATACTTATATTGATAGCTAAAACTTCAACTGCATAAATTTGTATGGATATCTCTCGTTTATTTTATTATTATTATTTTTTGTTATTAGTGTGTGAGATATGACGGTTGATATATATATATATATATATATCTTTTTTTTTTTTAATTGTAGATAGCATAAAAAATTTGAAGGGCTTTTTGTGCTAAGACAGACCTTAGCTTGGGTGAGGTGTGGACAATAAGGCATAAATCTCATTGCGATTTTTTTTTAAGAGCATTGATGTGGGCCTCAAGACTTGCCTCATATTGCACAATTATAAACATAGTTTATTTTAATTTTGATTTTTTTTTTAAGTTTTTGTTTATTGATTTGTCATTTTTTGCTTTTACAAAATTGATAAATTCAAAAGTTGAATTATTTTATATTCTTTAAATTTTAAATTAATGAATTGTTGTGAATAAAGAATTGATTAAGATCAACGTGGATGTCATTCATTTAACATGGCAAAATTATAAATTAAACAAAATAATATTGTACTTTTCCTTATATATGTTATGTACAACAACAATAGCAAGCTTTTATCCCACTGAGTGGGGTCAGTTATATAACTTTTGTCTCCATTGTGTCCTATTGAGTATCATATTTTCATTTAATTTTAATAAATTAATATCATATTTTATGCAACATGTCTTAGTCTATTTAGGTCTACCTCTACATTTCTCTTAACATAAACATCTACTATCCTAACAGGATTATCAAGTGGTCCACAAGCGCAAGATATCTAAATATGATCTCATTTTAGTGCACTTTTGGTGAAAGCAAAAAGCATGAACTCAATCATAAGAACTAATTCCGAAGAGAAGACATATACCGGCAACTATAGATCATCCTATTATGTCATCTAAAAAGGCCCAATGTAAAGTTTAAAATTGCGCTATTAGGTATTGAGGGATTTTCTGTCTGTGTGGTGAGACATAAGGCTCAAAGCATTTTTAGGTATAAGCCTTAGATCAACAAATTGCCTAAAATAAGAAATATTATACAAACATTAGAGGATGTAGTAAGAAGTAGCATATTAACATCCTATCATAAAGCATCAAAGAGCATAACAAGCCAAAATAAGTTCAACATAATAAGTATCTCTAACCCAATTCCAAAAAGTAAAAAGCATTTCAAACTGTTTGATTTTTATTAGAACAAGGTTCAAACCTAATTTTGATTGAATCGAGCTTAAATTTTGATTTGAATGAGGTTCGAATTTGAACATGTTCAACTCATTATTTTGGCTTAATGTACTCTATGAATACAAGATGGCATCCCTCATTATTGGTAATTAATTTGGTTCGAAATAAACCATTGGGCATATTTCCCCAAGAAAATAAACAGCAGCTATATTTATCTAATTTTTTGTTATTATGAGGCATATAAAAGTATTTTTCTCAATAATAAAAGGGGATTTTATTTAATATATTTTATTTATATATTTTTTTTGAAAAACTAACCTAAACTCTTAAATATGAGTCGCACATCTTCAATTTTGAGGCGTTGCATGATAGTTCATGATGTGAACACATCATGGCAAAAGATTCTTAAAGGCATTGAGGAACACCTTGAGATGTGTCTCGTATTGTGTAATTTTGAACAATGCTCGGAATTAGCAACGATCTCTGGAAGTAGTGTAGAACCAAGCTCAATCTTGAGTACAACATAAATCACTATAGAAAAAGGTTTAAGTTTAGGCTTAAGTAAACCTCCTTTACTCATTCAACTTGTGTATATTTGTCATCTTAATCAAACAATTGCTTGTTATTCTCAATAAGCTTCAATTGGGCTTGCCCAATTCTACTAAAGATGTAAACATCATTTATATTTAGTTTGGACTTGTTTCTTTGAAGGAAATGCCATGTATAAATACACCCTTGTTATATTTCTTCGAGACACTTGGCTTTTGGTTAGAGTTTATCATCTCTAATAAGTATTTTTAAATTTATGGAGCATGATATGGTTATAGTGTGAATGATCATAATACTTATATATTTTCTGATGATAATACGATGATCATGGATGTTATTTGGTATAATTCTTTTTCTATTTTTTTGAATAATAAGGTTCTTTTTGTACAATCATTTTCTTGTTTGACCATGTAACATACTTCAATTTTTTTTCAAGAATGTCTTTTCTGTTCGATGCATTGAGATGTATTTACTCGTATTTGTTCAGGGCATTTCCCCCATTGAAATTGAAGATTTTTAGAATGGAGTGTTCAGAATAATTTTAATTCATCAGTTAAGGCATTCAAAAAAATATTTTTTTTAGAATGATTTGGTTGATCTTTAGAATTGGACGTTGTAGGTTTGTAACTTCGGAAGACAAACAACGGGTAAGCAAATCTACAGATAGCCACGGTGTTTGAGTTTACAGTCGATGTGTAATAGGTTTGGATTTCCAGGTTGCTTAAGGCTTTGGTGATAGGAATTCATCACATGCAAAGGATGGGCCATGATTGTGTCTCGATGGATAAAATTTTTTTATAGAGACTTGAGTATATTTGTATCAATAGTGGGAGAATGATTTGTCATTTTTCTGCTTTATCAGTGATATGAAATATCAGAGTTTTCTTTGACGTAATTGGATTTATCTATTTAATGAGATTTAGCTTTCTTTTATTTTGTTTGTTTCTTGCAATAATTCTCACTCATTTTATCATAAATATGTCCGTATGATTCTAATGGTGAATTATTATTGAGTTGTGGATTAATTGTCTTGAGATGCTCAAAAGATGCCCCACCGTTGTCCCTTTCTTCCTCTTCATTTCCCATCCTCTCTTCTCATTGATTCTTCTCTATCATTGGGTCCCTTATTTAGAATTTGCTTCATTTTTCTAATTGTTGTGCTGCCTTGCACCAACATTAGTACTTTGACAAGGTAAGTGAGGGAGAATCGAACATGATTTCAAAAACATAATTAATGCATATTTTGCTAAAACATTGTGAATTAAAGCACAATTTGTAGATAGATTATATGAAGGAAAGAATGAAAAAAAAAAATCTAGCTAAAACCATAACTTATTTTGACAGTTGATACACAACAAAGGAGATTTCACACTTCAGCTATTAATCTTCTATCATCATTAGAAAGAAGGCGATCTGATACCAGAGGAAATATAGAGAGCATAAAGGAGTCATTTAGGATTAAAGGACATGAAAGGGAAGAGAGCAAGCTATGGTCGGGACATCATTACCGGCAGTTATCTTTATTTATCTTATCTAAAAACTCATGGTGAGTCCCAAAATTTGAGTACGCGAGAAAATAGGCTTGCTATGTGTAATGACTTGAGTGCGAGGTTCTCAATTCGAGCATTTTAGCACTGCATTGTAGAATCCCACGGCTTATGTAGAGTGCCAAGGCTTAGCATTCAAATGCTACGACAACGAATGTTATAGGAGGGGGTGAATTTTTTATAGGATTTTTTTTTTTCATTTCACACATAATTTATGAATGTGAATTGTGTCAGCCTGTTTGTCATTCATATTTGACCAGCCTGATTGCCAAATTAGAAAGTACTCTGATGCTGCAACTATACCATATTCTTCCATTCCAACAAAATAATTGATCTTCTACAAGTTTTTTCATACAGCTGTCAAAACATAATAGTGTTAATGATCTTTTTTTCCTTATTTCTTGTATGGAACTAAGCATGGCAACATAGAACATCATGAAAATTTTCAGTGTACCGTGGATGAAGGCAGATGAACACCTCTTTATGTTTTTGCGTATATAGATTCCATCAAACACCTTTATATTTGAATACATGCTGAACCTTGAAAATTGATAATGTAGGCTATATTCTTTTAAGTTTATTTGATTTATTTGTCGCTTCAAAGAGCTTGTTTACACTCCTAATATAACTTGTAGTTATCTGACCGAAATAGAATTGGATGTATTTAGAACAAATATAATTGTTTTATTCATTGCAAATCGATCAATAAACTGAGGGATATCACATTATCTAAACAAATAGTTTGGAAGCATGTTACCATTCCTCTTCCTCATCCGTTCCCTGCCATTTAACCCTGCAGCTTTTTCTGCTGAATCTCTCGTCCCAAAACACCATGATTCGGTTTTAATCGACCTTCCAGCCACAGTGGCCGCACTAAAGAACCCATCCTCCAACATCATCTATGACGAATACAATCACGAACGTTACCCTCCCGGCGATCCCTCCAAACGAGCCTTCGCCTATTTCGTGCTGACCGGTGGAAGGTTCGTTTACGCCTCCTTGCTCCGACTTTTCATTCTCAAGTTCGTTCTGAGCATGTCTGCAAGCAAGGATGTGCTCGCCCTCGCCTCCCTCGAAGTTGATCTCTCGAGCATTGAACCCGGCGCAACCGTGACGGTTAAGTGGAGGGGTAAGCCCGTGTTTATAAGGCGTCGGACGGAAGCAGACATCAAGCTGGCAAATGCGGTGGATGTGACGTCGCTTCGAGATCCCGAGGAGGATTCTGTGAGGGTTAAGAATCCGGAGTGGCTTATCGTCGTCGGGGTTTGTACTCATCTGGGCTGCATTCCTCTGCCGAATGCTGGTGATTTTGGGGGTTGGTTCTGCCCATGTCATGGATCTCATTATGATGTTTCTGGGAGGATTCGGAAGGGTCCTGCTCCTTTCAACTTGGAGGTGCCACAATACGCCTTCCTGGAAGATAATAAGCTTCTGATTGGTTGAGGTTTGATTTACTCTCTCAATCTGCAATTTTTTTTTTTCTTTTGTTTCCATCAATTTTGTTGTTTATTTAAACTGTGTATGGATTTTGATGTTTTATGGGATGGAATTGCACTGCTTTTATCATAATTGGCTCCCCGTTAATGGAGGTTTGTTTTTCATTGTAATAATATTGTGAGCCACAAATGTGGGATTCTATTTACAAGGAAAAAGTGTTTTTTTTTTTTTAATTTAAAATAGTGATATTTTTTTTATGTGCTGTGTAAAATTTGAGTGATATAAAAATAAAAAAATGATGTTGAGGGCTTTGATGTGATGCTAATACATGAGAATTGGGTGGCATGCATGTAAATGCCACTTCATTTTTTTTTTTTTCTTTAATCAATCCTGTTCCCTCAATTGTTGTAAGTTACAAATGAAGAGTTAGTTTGGCATAATTTTCGACCTGCTTTATGTTTCAAATCATCATCCCAGCATGCTTTATTTAGGAGAAATACCTTCTTGGTCCTCTAGAATTTTTTGTGGCGAAATGTTAAATGTTAAAAATATGATGGTTGTAAAAAAAATTGATTTTTTAATAAAAAAAGGCATTTATTTACAATTTACACCTGGTTTTTAGAAAATTATTCTCTACCATAATTTTATAACTATTTTTTAAAAAAACTACAATCACCCAAATATATCAGATATGTGTAGGAAGTGTTTTTTTAGGAGCGGTTTGAAATAAATGTATTTTCAAGTGGCCTATAAATTTATATTGTCGGTATGTAGATCAGTTAATTAATGACATTAATGACATGTACATTACATATATATATATATATATATTTAATTATAATTTTGGATATGTAAAAATGAAATTTTTTTTATGTGAGAAGCATAAATACATAACATTATTGGACTTTTTTCTAAAACTTGATCTGTTTAAATCGAATTTCTCAATAAAACTTTAACAATTGAGAAATTTTTGTAAGAAAAGTTATTTAAATCTTAAGGGAAAAAAAAAATTAAAGAAGAAACATAGCTTTAATATTAGAAATATAAGCACCCCTACTAGAATTTTAGAAGGTGGTTCTTTTGGCCAAAACAATGAGTTGGTGTGGTCCAACTGGCCTGATAATATTTGTCAGTATAATATATTTTTTTCAGAAATGGTATGACAGTCGGCAACAAATATTTGCATCATTTATGACACTTCAATGAAAAGAATGAACATGGCAATGGTATTTCAGTGGCTTCCTTCACATGAATGCGCTCCAAGTCTAACTTAATAAATGATTCACAAATTGAGCTTATGAGCTAACAAACCAAATTTGAACTCAAGCTTGACAACTTATTAGCTAATGAGCCAGCTTACTTAAATATAATTAATATAAATTATATTTTAAATATATTAAAATTTATGAATTTAAGAGAATTATTTTAACTCTCATGGGAAAAAAAAAAAAAATTTAAGGACTAAAATGGCTCCCTACAAAGAACCAATGTAAAGCAAGCAGATTACATTAGGATTATACAAATAGGATACTTTTGGAAGGGCCAAAGCAAGCAAGCTAACTAACCATCATAAGCTTTACATACCAATCACCAACTTCAATGATTGGCAGAAAGCTACTAAAGCCGGCAAAGTCTCAGCTTTACAAATTTACAAATTTCAGTTGAGATCAGGGAGGGGGAAAATAAGACAGGATTTTACCTTCCAGGATTGAGATGTACAAGGGTTTGGGTCCCATAGAAGGATCCCATGTCCCACTCCTCATTGGGGGAGGATAGAGTCATTAGTGCAACTACAATAGATCTCGTGCTAGGCCGCAGCTGGGGATTTTCCTGGGTGCAAGCTCTGGCAAGCTGGGCCATCTGGAAACCAGACAGACAGACAAACTTACTATATGAAAGTTCAGAAAGGATTATAGAGAGAGAAGAATCAAAACTTGTTTATAGGGGGTCAAAGTTACTTCAGATTATACAAAAGGTCAATTTATTTCCCAACTTATTTAATATGTATTAAGTGTCTAGGACAATTTTACATTTACTTTGAGTTTCAGACTGTCATCCCAGTTATATTTAAAGAATTACTTTTTTTTTTTTTGCTGCTTTATAAATGCTGCTTTATAAAAACTTTTGTGTTTGTGGTGGAAAGCTGTTTTTTACGACCAAACCTGTTAAAGTAAGGTGGTTGTAAGAAAACTACTGATTGACTGTTTGAAAAAAATAAATATTTATAACTCTCGCTACATCATTCTAATAAATTGTTTTCCCCCACCATAACTTTTATAACTATCTTTACAAAAAGCTATTCCTCAACACTTTAAATTGAGACAAATAATTCTATCAGAGTGGGTAGTAAATTAATCTTTTACATAGTCTATAAGACTATTTTGTCCCCAAGCAAAATGTCAGAAGATCATTTTAATCCTTTACTCAAAATGTGTGTGTAGAGGTCATCACCTTCAGCACGGATTCAATTGGATAGTTGTCGCCAAGCCTAGCATCCACTAGGCTCCGAAGTTCTTCCATTGGTTCCTCTTGCTTAAGAGCGCCTTCAAACTGTTTTCAAAATATGATTCAATCTATCTTAAGCATAACCAGGCGTGAGTGCTTCATGCCAATATAATCACCATATTGATAGCTAACAATATACTGTTCAAGAGAGATGACATTGAGAAACTATTGCTATTGACAAGTGAATGAAAAAATTTACCAGAGATATCAAGCCTTTGGATTCAGTAGCAGATTCATTAGACTTTACTATAGCTTCTTTGGCTGAAATCAGCTCATAAAGTACAACGCCAAAAGCGTACACATCCACCTTGGGAGAAACATCACCATACTTGGCATATCTGAGAGAAATTGAAAATTATTTCTAGCCAACAACAGCAAGCCTTCATCGCACTAAGCGGCATAGGCTACATGAATCCTTTTTTTTTCTCGATTGTGTGCTATTGAGTGTCATATTTTCATTTAATTCTAATAAATTAAGATAATTTTTTATACAACAAGCCCGAATCTTTTTAAGTCGACTACAAGAAAATTATTTCTAGCCAACTGAAACAAATTTTCAAGTATTAAAATAGTCCCGACTATTTACATGGGGCTATTTTAGTTTCAACGTTATAAAATGAAAAATTAATCTGCGGACTCTTTAAATTTGGGTTGAAATAATCCTCCATCAAGGCTATTTCAGCACATGCTAAAAGAGTATGAAGACCAAATTAGCACATATATAAAGTTCATGATTAAAATGACCCCCTATACAGAGTTGGGACTACTTTGACACTTTTCTCCAAATTTATCATAATAGAATATATTGATTTGATCCGCATATGATAACATAAGAGATGCATTCTGCTGATGAAATTAAAAAATGGCTAAAGCGTGTAATAAAAAAATGGCTAAAGCATGTGAAGTTGATGGCGTTCTAACTTGTCAGACACCCCATGCCAACCTTTAAAATTTCTACTATACAATGTGGAAGAGTCCAGCATGTCACAAAATATTCAAATTTGAACGTCAAAAATTGATCTCAATTCAGCAACAAAATTTCGTAGTGAAGAAAGATAATTCAACCTTCAATTTGATAATTCAACTTTATCCTATAACTAGCATCATTTGTAGAACAAAAACTTTTAGAAGTGATAAAAAGTGTTTTTATCTAAATTTGGAGCGAACTTAATGGAGAACTCACAAACACGAAGCATATTTTGGGCCTTGAAAGTCCAAGCTCCCAACCAACAGAATAAGGAATGCTATGTAGAAGTGATAAATAAGTGTATATATAGCTAGCGTCCTGATCTTAAAATCCACCTTTCATCCAGTTGAACGTTAACTATCCTCCCCAAATCTCTCTCCCAATAATTGATTTAAGGATAGTGAGGATCATAACTAGACTAGTTATTAATTGATTAGTTTGGTGGTAAGTCGGGAAAAGGAGACGCATTTACATATAGATGTGACCGTTTAAAAAAAAAGAAAAATTTACATACATATCACACAATTCTTATAATTTACATATCTAACATCTAAAATTTGATATTTACATTTACAGCATATTGGTGCTATAACCTTATGCATAAAAACGTGGATTTAAATTTTAAAATGTAGGTAAAAGTGGTATTTTTAATGTCATGATAAGGATCTGAGTGTTATGAATGTGAATACTAAAATTTAGGAGATAGATATGTTAATAAATAAGAGTTGAGAGTAATTTCCCCTTAAAAAAAAGGACGGTGGTTTCATACTCTGGAGACATATAGCCAAATGTTCCAACCAGACGAGTCATCAATGATGTACTCACAGCTTCTGTGAGTTTTGCCAATCCGAAGTCTGCAACCTGCAAGATATGAGTTCTCTTAACATCAACATAGTCACAAAGTTTGCCATTTTGTAATAACCTTTCTACTGCTTAAAAAAAAAAAGAAACCTTTCCATGAAAATTTTTATCAATCAAAATGTTTGCCGATTTGATATCCCTGTGGACATATACTGGAACAGTATGCTCATGAATGTGCTCCAACCCCCTCGCTGCATCAAGGGCAATCTGCACTCTAGCAGACCAAGGCAGGGGATCTCTCCCTATAAGAGCATTCAAATTCAAAGGACTTAACAAAAACAATTTATAATCTGAGAATTGTGCTGACAAGCAACGAATATTTTACCTCTGGACCCACGTAAATGTTGCTTTAAGTTGCCATTTTCAATATATTCATAAACAAGGAACAACGATCTCTCAGTGCAATAGCCAATCAGCCGCACCTGCATGCGTTTTGAATATTATTAGTTCAGAAGAGTTACTTGTTGCTCGTTCTGAGATGGTGACAGTTAAAGAGGCAGTTTCGGATAAATTTTTTTATTATTATTATTTTTATTTTATGTTTTTGTTTGAAATAAACAGGCTTGGCATGCTATAAAATATTTAGCTGTTTGAAAAAACACTAAAATAACTTTAAAATGCCCCAAGTATTTTTAAAATAAGCTAATTTGCTTTCAAAAAAAAAACAAAAAAATGCACTAAACTACTAAAAACAAAACAAGAGTGATCCCAAGGAGCCCCAAATGATGCTAATATTTGAAAGCTAGACGATTAAAGATGAGTGGACAGTTACAAGAAGCTAAAAGGAGATGTGTAGTAAAGAGTATTTGTTTACCAAATTCAAGTGATGGACATGTGTTAAAACTTTGAGTTCAGCGAGGAATTCTTTAGATGCCTGCGTATCCATTTTCTTAATAGCAGCTTTCTGCAAGATGGAGAAAAGAGAAAATCTTTAGTAGAAGTGGATAATATGGGGAAATAGAAAGCAAGCATCCAACATAAGTTTGAACAATAATCCCAAACATCAGGTTAAGTCACCACCCATAATTATCATCCCTTTATCAAACATACATTGAAGAAATTCATGGACTGCCTCCCGCACTTAATTTTTTTTATAACGTTATATCCACTAATTAAGTTAATATCAATCAGTGCAACATACTTGGCCTAATGTTTAAAAGTTCTGTTTGATTTAAAATGTGTGATAATATTTTGAATGCCAACAATGAGTTAATATTATATGACGATAACTTGACATTGATCATTAGTAAAGAAAAAGAAATTAAAAAGCGCTCCTAAAAATAAACTGTTAAAGTGAAGGTGCGAAAACTTTGACAATTCCAAAAAGGTAAATTTTCAAGATTAAGATGAAGATTTATAAATTTAATGATGCAGAAGAAAGTATGAATGAGGACGGCGATGGAATGAAAAGTGGCAAAAGATTAGAATATCACCGTACCATATAACCTACAAATTAATGTAATTTAACTTTACTAGTTAAAAATCATCTATTTAGTAATAATTTTAGAGTTCAAATGCAATGGAGCTTGAATTTTCATTAGTTTATCCAACAGGCACTAAAAATGATGTTTAGCTATTTTATACCCTCCAAATATATTCAACATGATTAAAAGAAATTTATATGTGATTAATTATTTATGGCGATGCTGCATTGTGTGTTAAACAACCACGACTCCTTAATCACATCTAGTGTCTCTCTTTTAAACACGATTCATTCATGTCTTATTAAATAATCCTAATACTTTTGACAAAAGGTAAAAAAAAGTAAATTATCTAAATCCATTCATAAAAGATCTACTGCCGTATTTTACTTCATAAACAATGCATAACAACCTAAAAGTTCTTTTTGTTGAATAAAAGTTGACAAACATAAAAAATAAAGAAGCTTTGGAGATCTAATTGCAAATGCAATCTGTGAATCATCCAAGGATGTTGCTTCCAAACTAAGAAAAGTCAACAGCATACGACCCAGTGAAGTATCAATTACACTTTAGATAAATAATTAAGACGAAAAAGAATACCAACAATCGATGCCAAACACGATCTACAAAACTCATGACCATAAAATTCATAAAAGAAATTTGTAATCATGGTGTCTTATAGCAGATTTCAAAAGAAGTTATGAAATTTTGCCTTTATGACAAAATAAACCCAAATTTTCACACAAACTTATGAAACAGGAACATAAAATTTACTCTTCAGCAACATAGTAGTAAATGAAATAGAAAGGAGATAGATACCACTCTAATTTTAATATCATATACAAAAAAATAAGGCTAAAACTACTACTTCCTTTTATAACAGTTTTACACAATTTCAATCTGATTCAATGTATTCAATCAAAATAAACTTAGCAGTTGATTTCATACAGTGATGGGATTTAAAAAAGCAGTTGATGAATCATGAACATTTTGATTACAGAAATGATTTATAAAATATAATATATAATTTAAAAATAGCTTTTGAAAATGGTCATAACATTTTATCGAATGATGACAACCAACCTCTCCTCTTAACTCGGCATAGTAAATAGCACCAAATCCACCTTCGCCGATTTTATTAGACAAATCAAAATCATTAGTAGCCTTAGCCAGCTCTTGATAAGAAAACTCCACAGATTTATCAATAGTGATGCCTGTGAATGGTGTACCAATACTGGGAATCAGCTCTTGACTTCTGTCTGTTGCAGATGCCGAAGCTTCACCAAGAAAAGAACTATATTACAATAATAGAAAACTATAATAATTTCATAGCTGTTTCTTGATGAAGAATTTTCAATGTGGTTAGATTGATGGAGCCCCAAAAGGAAGATTTACCACTCAATTCCTATTTATTTACATATGTCACACCTATACTTCCATTTTTATATACATTCCACCTTACCAATGCATAAAAAAGGTATATTTCACCTTCTGAAATATAAAATGATTGTATTTTTTATGTTATATGAAAGATTTCGGTGGTATAAATGTAAAAAACAAAGTCAAGATGTTAGATATGTAAATACATAGGAATTGGGTGGTATGCATGTAAATGCCCCTAACTAAAAAAGGACCTTTCATCTTTTCTTACCTTATTTTGCACTGGAGAGGAGGCCATGAAGCAAAGCACAACAGATGAAATAGTAAAGCTTATTAAGTACACACATTATCATCAACCATATTACAATAAAAATATAAGCTACCTTAACTTCTCCAAATAAATAGATAAAACAAAAACAAATATAATTCATGATTCATCCCATAAGTTCGTTTGAGCAAAAGAAATATAATATGGCAAAGTATTAAAATTTCATGTCATTGAGACTAAGACAGTCAATAACAGAAGGATTTAAAAACAATCTCATTGTCCTCAAAAATCAATCAGATGTACCCCAAAGTTAAGCTACTAATCAACCCGACTTTCCAACAAATTACACAATATAATTTTTCATAAAGAAGATTTACATATACACCACTCAATTGCTATGTATTTACATATCTAACATCTAAACTTCAATTTGGACATATATATGCCACCATTCCTACGCAAAAAAAAAGGTGCATTTCACCTTTTCAAATTAAAAAAAGGTGTCTTTGATATGAAATGAAAGATTGGGGTGGTATAAATGTAGAAAGCAATGTTTAGGTATTAGATATGTAAATACATAGAAACTGCATGGTCTGTATGTAAATGTCCCCTTGTAATTATCATAATGAGTCCCTCAGAATTGGAAAGGTCGCGGTCATTTATCGACCATTCAAGAAGCTTGAATGCAATAAAATAAAGCGGCAAGGTTGGCGTAGACTAGTCTATGATGAAATTTACTGAACCTGAGAGCGAGCACGAGAAGCATAATATCAAAAGAAAATAAAGAAAAAAATGCTAATACGAATACAATAAAGATGTTGCAATAAAAATGCAGGTACTAAAAAATTAACGGATACATTTTAAATAGGTTGTTCTCATCAGTCTATCATTACGGGAAAACAAAGGGCTTAAATCAAAATAGTTTAAAAGATTTTTGGGCAAGAAAGAATCAAGGATATCTAAAGATTATTCAATAGCAAGTGAACAAAAGCATCTGATAAATGAAGAAATAATTAACTTTAAGTTTGCAGCGGCTGATTTACTAGAAAGATATAACACTAAAACACCGGCACAATTGTTCAAGGGGGAAAAAAAAATTAGAGCCTTACTGAATAATTACCATTTGCATGCATATTTGTGTTATTGTCAAATTGCAGTGCAGGCAATGCAGGGGTGCTTGCTTTCTTTGTCCTACAAAACCTGCAAGAGAAGCAAATAGCCACCAGAAATCCAACCGCTCCAGCTACACATATTCCACCTAAAGCTCCGCCTGTTAATCCTGCTTAAGCTTGAAGTAAAAAATAATAAGTTATAACTTTCTCATTAATTTGCCAGTCCATACTTATAAAAGTGAAGATTGTGGGCCAACCAGATGTGTTGCTGCAGAATATATGAATTAAACTGGCATTAGAATAAAAAATACTGCAAGGTTTACCTCAATAGTGAGCTATTTTTCAAATATCATATTTTACCTTGAAATAAGAGGGCGATAGCTTCCTGTTGGATCTGTCCAAAAACAAAAAAAAAAACAATCTAACGATATTATTGCAAAATTAAGCAAAACATAAGTTCATAGAAACTATGTATGGCAACCACAAAAAAAAAGCATGATCATTATCTACTTTCCACACTACATTTATTTTATGCAAAACTCCAACAGAAAATTGTGGGCACTTATATAAATACCACACAATTCTTATGTATTGACACATCTAACACCCAAACTTTCATATTTACATGAAGAGCACTCATATATTTAGTATCACATCAAAAATAGCACTATCAACTATCAAGCCTAGTCCCCAAATAACTCGTCTAAGGTTAATACATCATGAATGTCTACATTAGGCTAATTTAACACTAAGGTTATGTTACTCCAAACTAACCCGGGCAAGGTGGGTTAAAAAAATTCAAGTTTCATCGAATCACATAAAATCACACGTAAAACTACATTAAAAAAAATAATAATCAAGAAAAAGCAACACAATTACAAAGAAAATAACAGCATCTTGAGGCAGCACCTCACCATGATTGTTTGGTCACCCTTCAGTAGATCAGAGAATGATCTGCTATCCCGCCCCTTCTATATGATTATCTTTATTATTCCCACCTTTTTATTTATTTCATTATTGCTAAGTGCTTAGAGAAATTAATTATTCTAGGTTTCTCTCTCCCTCCATCACACCCTCCAAGGAAAAAGAGTGGCCAAGAAAAAAAAAAACATGACATGAAGAGATGATAATCTTAGAGTGTGGCTTTTTTTAGTTTCATGTTGACAAAGTCGTTGACCAAGTTGTCATGTGGTTCTATTTACAACTGGATTCCAACATGCAATCGGTTTATTCTCGTTAACTTCTTCGGGTCAAAGATATCCTATTAACAATGAATTTTACTTTCAAAAATTGGTATCACTTCCAATGTCTCTCTGTAAAGTCAAGTGTTGGTAGGCTAGGTCCCCATCCTTGTTCGAAAAATCAAATATTACACATATATAATATATGAATGTATGGATTGTTTTACAAGTTTAATTTCCAATATCTTTTCAAAAATACAGAAAATATATTCAAATGGTACAAATCATATATTTCGTGTGCTAAACTCCCATATATATAAAAATATTCCTTTATGTGTCTCATTTTGATGTATTGATAATGAATTTGATTAACATAATTTTATATCTTCATTTCAAATAAATAATTCATACTTTTAATTCTAACTGCATATTCATGTACATTTAATAATTGTCTATGGTTCCCAGAAACCAAATTGAAATGTTCTGCATGGAATGGCCAGCTGCAAAATACTAATACCATTGTAAATTGTCAGGAACACAACTGAATTTCGCTTACTTCTCTCAAAAAGCTATCAAGATAAATAATGAAGGCCGCTGCAATAAGTTCAATTTTCTCAAAGAAACTCCAATCAATATGACATGGTATTATTTATTCAGAAGATTAACTAACTCCTGTCAAAATATTGATGAAAAAATCCAGAATCCTCAAACAGGTAAAACCTAACAAAGTTTTCCCAATGCAAGATGATAGAGTTTTCAAACTTTGCAGAAAGATTCTTACCATTTCACACGCGCACATGCACGCACAAATTTATATATAGTGACGCCACCGTGGCTCATTGGTTAACAGCGTTAGTAAGACCTCGGGGTCACAGGTTCGAGCCTTGTCTCCAATTAGTCAAATGAGGTTGATTGCGGGGTCCGCACTCCGGCCAATCTTTCTTAATACATATACATTCATACATAATGACAACTAAAATTTTGAACTATAACACACAAACATTAAGAGAAAACAATTTATAAGGCCTATTAATAAAATTTAAAAGCATTGAGTTCTAGCCAAAGAATGCAGCATTATCGATATTCATTACATAACGTGAGGTGCGAGTCATGGAATGCTAACAATGCCCACCAAACAAGAGTACCTATTTCATATGACAAAAGTACTACTCTTGGCAAAATTCTGGTTAAGCTAATGAAGTTGGCTAGCCCATAGTCCTCCTCAGGTCTAAACACAGCTAAGTCGTAAGCAAAAGTGGAACAAAAAAATTTGTGTCCAAAAATAAATAAGGTATATTCGTTTAAGAAAAAGATATAATGCATAGGCTATAAAAGTAATATACAAAAATGTACACCACACAAGAAATAATTTATAGAGCACTCTAAACCAGGGTGTCGCAGCCTTAAGTTTATGTCAGCAAAATGGTCAAATTAAGATGCAAGAGTGAAATAAAGAAGCGCATCTAAAAAACCTTTGAATACTTAAATGCATGAAAGGGGATATAAAATAAGTTTACTGGCAGCAATATCTCAATTTTCTAGAATAATCAATAATCTGTAGGATTGAGATACATATTCCTTTACATTTTTGGCTCCCTCTGGTTGAACATAATTGAAATAGAGGAAATGAAAGTGAAAAAGGAAAATAAATTGAATTAAAATTACTTTTCACCATATTAAGGTTTTTTCTTCTCTTTCTTATTTGGTTGATAAGAATCGAGTTTCTGTCTTTTGGTGAAGAGACAATGGTCATGATACAATAATAACCCGCTGAATATTTCTTCTAAATTAATTAATTAAAATACTGCCAAACGGACCAGCTTCAAATTTATGAACCAAAGTCCCTGAAAAGAGGATTGCAGAATTCGCAAGAATACCTGCTAAATATATTCTTTAGCATGCAAAAAAAGAAAAAAAAAGAAAAAACCCGCCAAGAGTAACTTAAAACATCCGCATTTAAGGAGAAGATGTCCACGCTAAGAAATAACAAAGCATATAATAAACACCTAAGATAAAGCCAAATGCCCCACAAGAAAAGACGTTTCTCACAGTCCCATGAAAGCATCAGGAAACAGCAAAACAATCATAAATTCCAGAGTCTTGATATGCAGTCTATATGATAGAACTCACAAAGAAATCGTAATCACCAAAGACAAAAAAAAACAAAAAAAAACTCACCTTTGGTTGGAATAAACACAATGCCTTCCCCCGCACTAAAATTCTTGCCAGGATTGAACCTCTGTAGCAGCTCCTCCTTCCCCGAAAATCCATAGCCGTCCGCCAACGATTCGAGGCTATCTCCAGCTCTCAGCGGATACGTCACAAACAGCCCATAGTCCAGCGACACCGACTGGTTTCCGCAAGAGCAAGTAACAGTCACATTAATCCTCCCCCTATCAGAAATCCTCGTGAGCGGATGACCGTTAACCTTCGATAGACCATCCGAAGTAGTAAGATTAGCGTAATCAGTGACAATCCGGTCATACGTCTCATTTCCAACTTTCACATACGTGAAGGTGTGGCCCAGAAAGCCGCCGTCGATACAGTTGCAGGGAAATGAAACATTAATTCTTGACCCGGAAAGGATGCTGTTTCTATTGACAATAGCAGGGTTGTAAGGCTGTATCTCATCGTAGGATGAAATGCCGAATAGGGCGGAAATGTAGGAAAGATTGAGATTGGGGGGGACGTAGTACGATCCAATAGCGAGGTCGCAAACCCTCGTGCACCCCGACTCAGAGATAGGCAAGAGCGATGCGATCATGAGGACGGTAAGAATGGCGGCAGACATCTTCTACGATGGCAACAAGAAGCGATCCGAACCGTAACCCTAGATTTCGGCAGCACTGATCGGGAGAAGGCGAAGCATTCTCCTTCGGATGATAGAAGAAGCGGAGGACCCCAGACTGAAGAGCAGGCCGAGGTTTATAGTTGGTCGGCAGCCGTGAATGGTTGGTCGGCCTCGGTGGAGCAGCCATTTGTGAGGATTGGGGTGAAGAAGGTTGACGTAATTAATGGCGGCAGAGGAGACCATGGGCTCGTTGGTGTCCAAACAGAACAGACAAAAGGAGATGGAAGTGAGGTTAAAATACTTCATTTCGTGATTTGGATTTGTGAAGTAAAGTGCGAGATAGAATATTCTTTTCACATTTTTTTATGAAGATTAATTCAAATTCATTAAAATTTATTTTGAAAATGTAATATATTTTTTATTAAATGCTTATTTTATTAGTCGGAGTTTAACAGATTTCAGATCTGAATCAGTCGACAATTATTTTTTATTTTTTTTTTTTTGCATGGAAATAAGATGATTAATTTTATTTATTTCTTGTCAATAAGATTAGCTAAAAAAAATTTTCTGATAAAAATTTAACATATAAGATAACGGATATCAGCATTGATATGTCATCAAAAAATTCGATCATTTGGTATGAATTTCGAGGTAATTGATATGAATCTTAAAGAATTTTCTTAAGAGAGAACTTCAAAACAAAAATTGAAAATCATACAAAATCTTGATTTTAGGAAACTCAGTCAACCCGTTGGCACCAATATGGGTCTGATCCGAGTCAGTTCAAGTCCATATCAAACTGTTAAATCACTTTTTGAAGTTTTTGGTGGCAAATTACAAGATCAGATGGATTTCAAATTTAACAAGTTTATAGTATTGAATATCTTGATGAGATGAATCCAATGAATATGATCACTCGATTCCAACATTATCATGGCACTTCTATTTTTACAAAATATCATCTAATCGAGAGATTATCTTTGGGGAGTTCGATGAAGTTTTCTAGATTCATTTCTTAATTGTAAGGGAGACCAATCCCAAACTCTATAAATAATGTCTAGCCCGTTTCATGAAGGGGAACTGAGGAGCTAGAGCTAGACTAGAAGGAGAAGAGAAGGAGAAAATTTCCAGAGTTGTTCTGAACCGAAGGTCCGGTGATCACTTCTTGTCTCACTAGCAATGACCATTATCGACCACCCCCCATTGGCTGCCTCCTACTCGTCGCCATTGATGGACCTCACATAGTAACAACATACTTCGCAATGGAGTTCTGTGCAAGGTAACATCATAATGTCCCGAATGCTGTGCAATGAAACACTCAGATGACAATGTAACAACACATGACGTATACGTTGCAACGGCATATTCCAAAAATGATCATGAATAGCATCATATCAAGGATCTGGCGATAAATACTTGTAATAATTGCTTACAACAATCATACCCATAAAGCTCTCTCCTTAAATCTCTCCACTATGACACATGTGGCCAACAACTCATGTTGTTCCCAACTCCTAGTTTTATTGGCTTATATATGTTATTACAACACAACACTACGACATACGTTGTTCGTGGCTCATGCAGCTCCCAACTCTAGCTTCTGTGACCCATTGATGCTATTACTGCTAAACACTATGACATATGTGAACAACTATCACCTATGCAATCTGCAACTCATGTAGCACCCAACACTAACCTTTTGTATCTTACAAATGTTATTACAGCTCACGACTACGCTCTATGTTAAAAAATATGAAAAAATAAAACTAATAGATTTAGACAAGGCTTTTGTGCTAGTTTTTAGAAAAGAATATATTTGCATATAAATAAGAACGCACCATAAGAATGGTCCATCTACTCTTACTTTATTCAACCACCATTTATAATGCTTTCTCCCTTTCAAACCTTCTTCAGATAAGTTTTGGTGGAGAGGAGACTTGGATAGTGGTCTAATATTTTAAATTGATATGTTAAAACTACCTTTGACATAACCTAATTCCACCATTGATCATGATATTAACAAAATGAGAACTGCATAATGGCTAAGACTACCACTATGAAAAACTTCCACCATCTCCATTTAAAACAAGCTAAAAACATCTCAATATATTCAATGTATTTCATTTTCATTTTCTAGCTTGGAAAAATTAAGCTAAAATTAAATTTATGAAATGTTAATTTGTTTCTCATATAAAAATTCAAAATTTGATTCATGCAGTGTTAAGAAGTACATTAAGATTTTGTTTTAGTAGATTATGTACTTTATTGTAGAGAATAAGACACACAGGACTAAATTCCCACCATGATTATGCCTGTTTTACATTACAAGCAAGGAAAAAAAAAATCACTGCAATTACTTGCTCTTACTGTTCAGTTAATGGAACTCGTTCCTTTATGAATCTTAATAAACATCATATTACGTTAAATGACAGAATTTCTTGCCAATAGGGCTGTCAAAACAGCTCGTTGTTCGCGAACAGCTTGTGTTCTGCTCGTTCGCTAAGTTAACGAGCCGAACATGAACAAATATTTATTCGTTCTTGTTCGACTCGTTTTGGCTCGAAATACTACTGATCAATTATATATATATATTTGATGAGTAGTATTTTTAAAAAGTTTAATTGACTACAAGACTACAAAAATTTATAATCAATTAAAAGTATTAATTAAGAAAATAGAATAAAAAATATTAAATTAGATTCAAATAATGTTTTAAATCTTGCCACAATCCTTAACATCTTATGGCTACGTGATTAGGGTTGTCAAAACGACTCTTTGTTCGTGAACGGCTCGTGGCTGACTCGCTAAGCAAACAAGCCGAACACGAACACACTTTTTGAGCTCGAAATATAAACGAGCCAAACACGAGCGAGCTTTAACACCCCTACTTGCAAATGAAACAAATATTTATGCTAGCAAAGTAAAAGAAAAAACCAGTTAACACATAACATTTCAATCTCATTGTATTTACACACACACAAAACAAAACTAACCAAAGCAAAATAGACAAAAACAAAAAGAAAAAGAAACAGAGCAGCATCACTTTTCACATCAGGTGGGAGGAACCATGTAGTGGATGCTATTTTTAGACATCACTAGTTCTAGATATCTCAAGTGAATTGCTTCTTTGGTAGCTGTGAAACTAAAATAAAGAGAAAATTAATATATATATATATATATATATATATATATTTTTCAAGGTATATCTGTAAATTCGCAACAGTGTGGGCATACCGCATGTACAAGTTCTTCGAGCTTGGACAAGAGCTTTTGCTGCTTTAATTTTTCACGTTCTCTAACTGAATCAGCTTCTTGACGTAAACTGTCAATCTTACATAATAATTGAAAAGAATGTTAGAAAATTTAAAGCAAATGCTTTGCAAAGCTTTTTGTTTTTCCTTTTTTGTCAGGATTGTATTTACTTTGAGATGAATCAATATGAATTTCAACTGATTATTCATGTATCTTACTCATCTGAAAGCATATTCAATAATTTTGAGACCCAACATGACTCGAATGTTTTGCTTTTTCATTCCCTTTAAACCTGTATAGTTGAATGATTGCCTTTGTTTAGAATAGATGTTTGGAAGATTTACATACATCCCACTTAATTCCTATGTATCAAGGTTTATAAAAGCATGCTTCATGAGAAAAGAGAAACAAAGCGTGTGATGCTCGCTTATATTCGCAAACACATTTCAAAGAGTTGAAATTAATTTGTTGACATTTTTTTTTTTTTGTTGTAATTTTTAAGTTTTAAATTATTCTTGTAAATTATTAAAAATTATTTGAAATGTTAATTTGTAGGTTTAACCTCAATATTTGCTTTCAAGTTATGTATTGTACAACCATTTTTTTCTATTTTATATCAAATTTTAAGTCATACTTTATGTTTTATAAAAATTAATGAATGTAATTATATCTTAATAGTTTTGTATAACCTAATAGTGATTTGGTTAATAAAAGCGTCACTTCACTTTATGTTTTAGGCTTTAGAGCACAAATAAAATCTTAAACATTGTATTATGATTTGTGCTTTGATAACACTGCTATGTATTACATATCTTACACCGAAACTTTAATTTTTACATGTACGTCATCTTGCCTATGCATAAAAATATGTATGTCACTTTTTTAAAGTTAAAATAGTGATATTATGATGTGGTATGAAAGATTTGGGTGATATGAATGTGAAAGTAGAGCAGGTGTCATATATGTAAATGCATAGGAATTGGGTGGTAAGAATGTAACTGCCCTTAAATGTTTTTTTGTGGAGGAGATTTACCCTGGCAACCATATCTTCAAGCTTCCTTTCACGTTGCTCGAGGCTTTTCAGCTTCTCTTCCACTTCTGCCCTCGCATTATTGAGTTTCTGAATATCCTCTGTTTGTCTCACTTGTCTCTCCTTTTCTGTTGCTCTCAGCAATTCCTCAGCTTGTTTTACTGAAAAAGAACATTTTTTTTGTTTGCAGAACAAAGATTAACCGTGAAAGTAATGGTAAAATAACTCATAGCAATAAAAAAAGGGTTGGTTTTTTAGTAAAAATGCTGGCAGAAGATATAAAATAATTTTACATTAATTACAATAACCACAACCTTTCCCTTGCAATTCAAACATCTTTGCTTCAAGGGACATATCAGAAACCGCATCATTACTCAACTTGAGCTTCAAAGCCTTCAAGTCCTTCTCTATATTTTTAGCTGAATTTATCTGAAACAGTGAGCAATGCAGCATTATGAATAGTATCTTATGTGATTGGACTTATTTTTTTAATTGATGCGACTGAAAGATAATGATACGTAACATTATCACAGGGAGGATACTTAGGATATCAGACTAAAATTTAATGAAGGTGAATTTTCTCTCTATTAGAATTACTTTGAGATGAATGTAAAATAGTTGATTGATCAATCACCCATCAATTCTGTAAGTTGGCATAGCTAATCAATATAAGTCAAGACAAATTAAACATGTTCATTTTATGCTATACCGGCACAGACTATAGGTACCATTAAAAAAGAAATACTCATGAATTTTAAAATCTAGGCACCATTAAAAATCCTTCTTAGGTATCAATTTTTTTATACATTGAAATGAAAACATTTATTACTACTTAATGGACATTTGACTAGATATAAGCATTAGGCTTGGAAAATTAAAATTGGCAAGCATACTTGTTCCTGAGTAGCCTGGCCTAGGGCCAAAAGTTTTGACAATTTTTCAGAAGCCTGCAATGCAAAAGAGAAAATTTATCATTGCAAAGTATATGAGTAAATAAATAAATAAACACAACTTTCTGTTCTGAGTAGGGCTGTCAAAATGACTCGTCATTCGCAAATAATTCATGTTCGGCTCATTAAAAAGCTAGTGTTTAATTCGTTCGCTAAGCAAACGAGACGAACACGAATAATTTTTCTGTGCTTGATATATAAACGAGCTGAACACAAACGAAGATTTGTTCGTCCGTGTTTGACTTGTTTTGGGTACATCTATATATATATATATATATATATATATATATTTAGACTATAATGCTACAAAGATTTATAATCAATTAAAATTAATAATTTAAAAAATATAATAAAAATATATTAAATTATATTTAAATGATGCTTTAATATAAATAATAAGATTTAAATCTCGCCTTTACCCTTCACATCTAACTGCTACGTGATTAGGGTTATCAAAATTGCTTTTTGTTCGCGAACAACTCGGGTTCAACTCGTTAAGCAAACGAGCCGAACACAAACAAATTTTTTTTGTTCGAAATATAATCCAGCCGAACACAAAGAATAGTATTTTTTTTAACGAGCCAAAGACAAGCTGAGCTTCAGCTTGTTTACACCCCTAGTTCTGAGTTGTGCCAGAAAGCGAACTCGTCGGGACAGCATTGCATGTTTCCATGTATAAAAAGCACTTCGAACATATTTTCAGAAGATCAGTACAATAACCGCCTAAGAATTAATAGTTAGAAGCCAAAGTAAAAATTAAATCCTAAATAATATGGGGAGCGGCTACCAAAGATTAATGACAATATAATGTGAAGTTTGGGTGAATAACCCTATATCTCGATTTACAAACTACTACTACAACAGCAACTAGCCTTTATTCCACTAAGTGGGAATCTTTGTTTATAAACTAATATAAAAAATAGTGGCTCTGCTAGTACAACCCATTTCTATTGAAATAGATCATAATGGTGTTCAATATTCTTAGAAAACAAGGATGTTTGTGGCGGGTTAAATTTGTGAGAACTATCAAGACTCCTTCAAGAAAAAACAAAACAAAAAAACCTATCAAATCTATCCTGGAAATGTTTTATGCTGTTCCATGAAAGCGGTAAAAAAAACAAACAGAAGTCCCCAAAATACAAGATAAGGCAGATCTCAAACAAATAATTAAGTCTAGCATGAATCATCAAGCATAATATAGAAGAACAATAAAGACCAAAATGATTTTCTCGAAAGAATCAATTTCATATAGAAAGGAAACTTGCAACTTGCACTATCAGTTTGTACAATGGAACACTCTTCATTACCTTAGAGCACACCTCTAGAGCCGTGTTTTTCTCATGGACACTTTGAATTGACATTCTCTCAGAATTCTTCACCTCAGAAAGTTTTTTTCTTTTTTCCTCGAGGGTCCGCTGCACCAAAATAAAATAAAAATATATATATTAGAAAGCAATCATTTTAAAATGAATATAATAACAATAAAAATTTTGATCAATATATCAAACAAAATGAAGTTTGGCCGGGAAGAAAAAACATGTGATACAGATTCAAAGCAGGTAGAATTTGCATCTACAATAGTAAAATAGGAGCAGATAATGTAGCTTGCTTGTACAAAAATACATTTGGGAGTCAAATAAAATGACTGTAATGGCATGACAGTAAATATAGATAAAGCTCTATCAAAAATCAATCTTGAGAAAGAAGGTCAGCTGATTTACAATCAAATATATGTAATGATTAACTAAAAAGGCCATCTAAGAAAAGTCAAGCTACTCCAATTAAATCATTCCAATCCACTAAGTTCACTAAGACCTATAAAAACGTACAGAATAATCAGAGAGGATAGGTAAAAAAAAAATTCTGTAAAATTCACCTGTAGTTTGTCTGGAGACTGAACAACTTCAGACAATAATTTGTTGTTTTCTTCCGCCTTCTTCAATAGCTCAAAATCTGCTTGTGAGATCTACGAAAAAAGTTATAATCAGAAAAAAAATATGATTATGACTGCATAAAAATTTGAAATTATCAACACAAGCATCATAAGTAATGATTAAAAAAGAACTAGAACTCAAAAGAATAGCAAATTAGCATACTAGGACAACAACACAAGCTTACATGGATAAGCATTTAGACACAAACAAAACAAAGAGGAGACAATCAGATGGCCAAAAACTCAAGGCAAGCATAAAAATACTAAGAATTCTTTCGCTATATTAAGCCATGTAATAATATCAATATGGTAACCTAATAATTCTAAATTCCTTCAACACCCTCCCACAAACTTATGAAGTTATAGCAAGCAATCGAGAGAGTTTGTATAGTGCAAGAACCAAGAGATCAAAGTAAGGAATATTTAACAGCTTTTCAAAATTGTCAATTTAAGCAAATCAATGATAAACTGAGTTCTCTAGTAGAAAATCAGGACCAATTGAGAAATTAACATTGGGCCAACATTTGTCAAAACCAAAGGTAATGAAATAATCATGAGATATAGGATCCTCATAAGATTCATGCAAATATTTGAGGGATCTTCACAGGTTGTCATGGGATCTTCAAGACATGACAAAAGCAAAGAAATTAAGAAGCAATGAATATCCAAGTTAGCGAAATAAGTAGCAATGGAAGGGCCAGCACGAGACAATAGGACAACTTGTAGAGAGGTCAGCAAGCTGTGAACAGATTGCGAGCGGCAAATAGGATTGCAAGCAATCATAGCAAGAAAACAAATCAATGCTTGTGTAGCGGAGAGTTAGCGAGTGAATTAGCACATGTGCAGCAACCTGTAAGCAAATGAAATGGTGATCAGGCGAAGCAAAGCTAGTGCGGGTCAATGAGACCCAAAGAGACCAAGCTTGGGCGATAGTGACAAATAGGGGTGTAAACGAGCCGAGCTTAAGCAAGCTAAACATTTGTTTGTATTTGGTTTTTTTATTTTATTTTTTTTTTTTTTGGTTTAAAATTGGCTCGTGCATGAAATGGCTCGTAAACAATATCGTTTTCAGCTCGTGTAGAGCTTGTTTAAATTAATTAGAAAATAGATGTAGGATGATAGATTCAAACAGAACAAAAGGTACACTATCCTAAATTTAATTGTAAGAATTGAGAATGAAGAAGCACAAAAAACATTTGATCTAGTAAGAAACATCTCCGAAATGAGGTTGAATAATCCAAAATAACCAATGTACTTATATGATACATTCAAACAACAATAGGCACAACTCTCTCAAGTTTATCATACAAGCATGAAGTATAAGTGTATTATCTTGCAAATAAAAAGTGAATTGTGTAGAATCTATATGATTTCAAGATCAACATGCATACATATTCTTCAAAATTAATATTGGGATCTTAATCTGTAGACATATGAAATATGTAGTAAGTTTAGACATATGAAAAACAATCTCCATCTGTGAGTAGTAGAATAAGGATATTTTTGTACTTATTTATGCACTCATTACGTATACATAGAGAATAACTAAGCGAAAATAGGAAAAGAAAATATCTCACACTATATTATTAGAAATAGAAAGATTGCCAACTTTAGAACAACACCAAAATATCCATAAATTTTAGCTAATTACATCTTATCTATGATAAACTTATCAATTTAAATTTTGAAAAGTCTGTGTAGATTCACTTTACCACTTAAGAAAATTAATCCACGCCAACTCCTTGGTTGGACATCAAACAAAAATGAACCTCCAATCCTATCTTTACTGCAATGCAAAGGGTTTGATCAATCAAAAGCTACTAGAAACACCCTCACATCCAAGCGCATATCCTATAAATGATAAAACTTATTATTACTAGAAGTACCCATCAACAAGTACTCATAATGTTCATTGAAGCATTATCTTCTTGCATATAAATTTTTATTACCTGGCATGAAATAGAGAAAGCAAGTCTTTGAACTATATTTTCCATAAGATATATTTTTTGAAGAATTATAAAAAAGAATGAATGAGTAGCAAACCTTGCTATCGATGGCATCAGCCTTCTCCTTGAGCTCTTTAGCCTGGTTCCTCATCAACATTTGCTGCTTGTTATATTCCTGTATAGATTGCTTTAGTTTGTTCACGTCTGCATCCAACTCATGAACCATAGGCTCCTCCTTTTTCCGTGCAACTTCATAATCCATACATTGCTTCTTTAACTGCGGGATTTCCATAAAAACAAATCCTGATAGATATTCCTTTAAAACTGCTATGGTGGGTGAGCAAGCAAATGATAATTCAATCAAAACAACAGGTTCTCAAAATTTCAGCTCTAGGGCTCATTCTGCTCTGTAAAGCTTTCAGAAAGTTTCAACTGTATACAAAATTTCCTGATATAGTTCACCAAGAATCATAGCATAGAATGGCTTCTCCTGTATGTTTTACTACATATAAACTGTAAAAAGATTTATAGAACACTTAGAATTTTAAGTTGGTGATCACATCATCATATTGCCTGAAAAGTGCTAACAACAATGAAGGGCAGTAAATCCTAACTCCAAGAAGATTAGATCCCAGTGTCATATATTTTCCATTGTGACCAAAAAAATAAAGAAAGGATTTTTTCATCAATGAGGTTTGGTGCTTGTTTTCATTGCACAAACCAAAAGACCTAAAACATATCAGCAACTTGGAAACATAAATATAAAAATTTTTCCATCTACAACCCAGCGATGATACAAACATACCACTGCAAGCTTCTCCTCGAGTTCACTTCTTCTCTCATCGCACGCAGGTAGCTTATCCATAAACACTTGCAAAGCGGCCAGTTTTTCCTCTCTGAAATACTCAAAGAAAACAGCAAAAATAAGCCCATGATAAAACAAATTATTACAAAAACCACGCAAACCTCCTTCAATCTACAAAATCTTGCCTATAGTAGAGAAAATTGACAATGGCGCTAAAGATGAGAATCATCCTCCGGGGTTCCGGCATCAACAAGTCAGAGAGCTTGAATCCATCGCAATTTATAGAAACAAGGAACTCATTCATCCGGTGGAATAGGTTAATGGCTCGGATGGCCTCCTCGTGGTACTCGGGGTTGTCCAGCAGCTGGAGAGCGCCAAAATCAAGGTCGGCATTGACGTCTTCACTGCAGAGTAGATAAATAAACCAGTATGAAAATCTTGGATCCCGCGAAGGAATGTATGAGGGTTTTGGCTTTGGGATTTAGGGTTTTCGGTACCGGAGGGGTTGGAAGTAGTTGATGACGCTGGCATAGAGAGCGCAAGCTAGGTCAGCAGTGGGGGCGGCGAGGTCCGACTCAGAGATGTTGGCGATGCCGCTATCGTTGAGAACGCCGGCAATCTGCGCCGCCGACATCTCCGGGCAGTAGAAGGCTGACGACATATTCTTGCTCCTCTCTTTCTCGGAAAATTATTCTGTCCGACCGACGAGTGCTCTCTCTCTCTCTCGCTTTGTAGCCTGCGGACCCTTCAAAAAGATTTTGCCGCCTTACACTATGTGCTTTTATTAGGGCTGTATAGTAGCCGGGTTTGAGTCGAGCGCACGCTCTGGCTCGTGTTGTTCTCGTTCAAAATTACTCCCATTCAAAATTGGATTGTGAATGGTATATTCGTGTTCGGTTAATTTTTAATATTTATGTTTATATTCGTGCGGCTTGAAATTGACTTGTTAAAATTAAATTAAAAAAAAACAAACGTAAAATGTTGGATTTAAACATTGACCAAATGTATAGAAAAAAAGTCACATAACCACATATTATGATTTAAATTATATATATATATATATTATTTTTTTTATTTTTATTTTTATTTTTTTTTGAGCTAAAGTGAGGCAAACATGAGCGAACAAAGAGTTAGAACAAAGAGTTATTCATGTTCGGCTCATTTATAATTCGAGCTTTAAAGACTTGTTCATTTTTTGCTCTTTTACTTAACGCGAAGCTTTTTTGACAGCCCTAATTTTTATATATCTAAGCCACTCAATTTATTGATATTAGCAAAATTTGAATTTACTAAATCTAAATAACATTAAATTAATTAAAATTAAACATAATTAAATTTATTTGAGGTGTTTGAGATAAACTTATTTAATTTTTTTTTTTCTGTAAATTTAATAAATTCGAATTTAATGAACGGAACAAATAAAAATTGGATTTAATTCATGCTAATCGATGAAAGTGCCAGGCCGCTCAGTTCTCCGAAGCTAAGAAGCCGTCCATGGTGGTTAGCTCTCACCTCACGAGGCTCCCCGTTTTGGCTGACCGCTGCAAATCCATGGCGGACCTGAAGCAAATCCAAGCGCAGCTAACCACCCTCGGCCTCGCCGGCGACAGCTTCCTTGTCTCCAAACTACTCCTTTTCTCCGCCATCTCCGACTCCGGGGACCTCAACTATTCCCAGTGTATCTTCCTCGCCCTCACTTCTCCCTCCACCTTCGTCTGCAACACGCTTATCCGTGGTTTCTCCCGAAGCAGAAACCCTAACCGGGCCATCTCATTATACATCCAGATGCTCCGCAGCCATACCAAGCCGGACCACCTAACTTTCCCCTTCCTCGCCAAGTCCTGCGCGCGCCTCGCCTCCCTCTTCCTTGGCCGAGGAGTACATTGCCATATAACCAGGCATGGCCACGAACTGGATCTCTTCATTGTCAACTCGTTGATTCACATGTACGCTTCGTGCGGCCAGATGCCCGACGCTCGCAGGGCGTTCGACATAATTCCTCTTCCGAATTTGGTGTCATGGAATGCGCTGCTCGACGGATTCGCAAAATGTGAAGATTTGGTCGGTGCGAGGGGGGTGTTTGATGAAATGCCTGAAAGGGATGTTGTCTCTTGGAGCGCCATGATTGATGGTTATGTCAAAGGTGGGGATTATAGAGCCGCCCTTGCTCTCTTCGAGAGGATGCAGATCCATGGACCTAAACCTAATGAGATTACCATGGTGAGCTTGTTGTGCGCCTGTGCACACTTAGGCGTACTAGAAAAAGGAAGGAGCTTGCACCAATACATAAAAGACAACAACTTGGTACAAAGCCTTGCCGTCACAACCTCCTTGGTGGATATGTACGCCAAATGCGGATCAATAGCTGAAGCCATGAACGTGTTCAGGTCATTTCCGGCGGCCAAAACCGATGTTTTGATTTGGAATTCCATAATTGGGGGGCTTGCCATGCAGGGGATGGCAAGAGATTCTGTAGAAATGTTCAGGGAAATGCTCAGAGCAGGCATGAATCCAGATGAAATCACTTACCTGGGACTACTAAGCGCCTGTGCCCACGGAGGCTTCGTGGGAGAAGCTTGGGAGTTCTTCGGATCGATTCGTGAGCAGGGACTCAGGCCACATGTGGAGCATTACGCATGCATGGTCGATGTGTTGGGGCGTGCGGGGCGAATGGAGGAGGCGTATGAGTTGGTGAGGACAATGCCAATGGAGCCAAGTGGGTCTCTCCTTGGTGCTCTGCTCAGCGCTTGTCAAACTCATGGGTGGATGGAGCTTGGGGAGGTTGTGGGGAAGAAGCTGGTGGCGTTGGAGCCGGAACATGATGGAAGGTATGTGGGTCTGTCGAATGTTTTGGCTGGTTCGGAACGGTGGGAGGATGCGAAGAAGATGAGGGAGGAGATGGAGAAGAGGGGGGTGAGGAAGGCTCCTGGGAGGAGTGAGATTGAGGTGGGAGGAGCTCTGCAGAGGTTTATTGCTCATGATATGTCTCATCCAGATTCAAATGAGGTGTATTGGATGCTGAGTTTTGTAACGAAGGAGATGAAGATGGAGTTGGAGAGCTTTACTTCAGAGTTGCTGTTGGAATGAGGAGGGGACAGTTGGTCTTTAGAGCTGGTAATGGTGCTCTGTAATGGTGTTTCTTCTTCTTCCTCCTCAGTGGCGGTAGCTGGCACAAAGGCTGGTAAGAGGTTGTTTGAATCTATTACAATGTTTTCATTGAATCTGTTATAATGGTTTCTAAAAATAGATCTTGAAATTTTTGCAGGTTCAAGGGAGCAAAATTGATTGAAGCAGTCAGAAGAGATTTATAACCAGGTTGAATTATTTATCATTTATTTTGGTGCATTTACACACATAACACACAAGTCTTACGTATTTACATATCCAACAACTAAACTTTCATAATTACATACATAAAAATCCAATCTTTAAAAAACATCACCACTACTAGATCTTTAATAGAAATAGACATTTTCATGCATAGGTTGGTGACACTGTAGTGTTAAATGTAAATATCAAATTTTAGGTGTTGATATGTAAATACAACAAAATCGTGTGCTATACATGTAAATTTCTCTATTTTTTTTAGGTGTTGATATGTAAATACAACAAAATCGTGTGGTATACATGTAAATTTCTCTATTTTTTTTAGGAAATAGAAGCTTAAGCTTATTCATTTTTGGGTTATTAGGTGGGTTTATGAATATTGAGGAATTAAGTGGTATGTATGTAAATATTTCTAAATAAAATGGTTAAATTCATACGATATTGTTTCACCATACAAAATCATAATTACGTGTCTTAATTAATCAAAATGTTTCAGCAAGGTGCTGAATCATTTATTATAAAAAAAAGAGAAATAATATTAATTTAAATTAGGGTTCTAATAAAATTACAAATAAAATAAGCGATTGGAATAATAATAATAATAATAATCAATTATTTGATATTAAGTATGAAGGGCTCTTTACATATATAGCACCTGAAACAATACTATTTACAAATGTAGTCCCCACTTTCATCCATTTTGCAATCTCACTTAAATATCAAAATTTATAATAAAATCCAAACCCATATTTTTTTATTTTTATCAAATTCATAATGATTTAATCATGACACGTGAAAACAGTCAAAAATTCACATGAATGTTAAATTTTGTAAATAATAATATTTTGAGTGCTATGTAAATAATTATCCCAAATATAAAAATATCATTTTTAAAATATTTTTAATAATTTAAAAACAATAAGCTGAATTTTAATATATTTTATATTAATATATATTTTTTAAAAATAAATCAGCTCATAAGCTAACTAGTTGAGTTAAAGCTAACTAGAAGCCACTAAACAAATTGAGCTTGAGTCAAATTGGCTTAATTAGTCCCCCCCTCCCCCCCCCCTCCCACTAAATGGTGGCTGATTTGACATCCCCACTTGCATATATGTATCGCATACCCGACCAATTTGTTGGCATCGATGGTAAAAGACCGCTCAAGTCAGTGGTTCGAGTCCATTCTATCGGAGTTGATCATAAGAAGGTGATACTTAAATCATTAGGCACATTAAGAGTGGTTGGAGGCTCATGTAATAGCCTCTACATTCATTATATATATATATATATATATAAAGGAACCTAAGTAGAGCTCCAACAAGTTCATAAAAAGCATATTAGAGATGGCCTTAGAAATAAAAGATTTACAAAGAATTGCAACAGAAGAATTGAATAAAGACCAAACGCTCCCTTTAAATTTAGGAAATAGGATGCCTGTCTCCCAAGAGACGGGGATGAAGCTTCCTGCCATTAATTCTCTCATGGAAGAGGAAAGAAAATTTTGATAACCGCAGAGATTCATGTGGCGTCCGATCTCTACCGTCCATCACGGCTTTCGGTGGACCCATTTTCATTAAAAAAAAAATTCCCATCAAAGCCTTGATGGACAGTGGAGATCAGACGTCGCATCAGAGAGATGAATTCGGTGTCCGCACGGAACAATTTTTCGTAATTAAAGAGGTAGGAAGCAAAAATAACAATGAAAATTTACATACATACCACTCAATTCCCATGTATTTGCATATCTTAAAACACCTAAACTAAAATTTTTAAATGTTTATATTAACCATGCATGAAAATATATCTTCATTTTTTTGAAAGTTTGGATGGTAGTATTTTTTTATGTGTTATGGTATGGCTCATATACCATATCGGGACAGATGTTGGATCGAAGCGGAGCGGAGCGGAGCGGAATAATCTGTCCAATTTGGGAAGTTACGTGGGTAAGTTACGTGGGTTGGGGGTTGGGGTGCGGGGGCAAAGCCCCGCGGCTTGGTACAGGGGTAATTTAGTAATTACATTTTGTGACTAGGTTTACTCCTGGGGTTATAAATAGGTCTGTTAGTAACCCCAGGAGGTATCCCTGATTTCTGTAAACCTCTTTTCTAAATATTGAAAGGAACTCGCCGCTCTGCTCCCGAGGACGTAGGCATCTTTGCCGAACCTCGTTAAATCTTTGTGTTCTTCTGGATTTGTGTCGATTTTTTCTTCTTCGTCCTAATTTGCTCAACAAGTGGTATCAGAGACAGGTTCGAGGGCAACGAAGAAAAGTCTCGGCGGCGCAGAAGAGTTCGAAGGGTAGGTTTTTGACGGTTCGGAGGAATTCGGCGAACGATTTCGGAGGTTGGCGGCAGTCCAGATTTCGGCTCGGACGGTTCTGCGACAGGGAGATCGTTCAGATTTCGGAGGGAAGAAGTTGATCGCGACTCTCAATAGGATCGTGAAGATTTGCGGCAGGGTTGCGACGCAGGTAGAGGCAAAGGCGGAGTTCAGCCAGGTTTCTATGTGCGGCGAAGTTCCTGTTTAGCTTCCGCGGGCGACGGAGGTAGCGCGCAGGAAAGGAAATTTTGCTGGGCGGAAAAGAATAAGGAATCTTTGATTTCACAAATTTCCTTTGAATTGCCTTTGCTGATAAGATTCCTTTCCTGGAGAAAGCCTTTGGTGGAAGATTTTTTTTCCTTCAGCGGTGAAATTGGAGAAGAAATCAGAGAAAGCAAATCCTGATCCGGGAATCTTTTAATTCCAAATAGGAGAATATTCTCTAACTGGAGGAGGCGTATTTGGAGAAAGACTAAAGGAAAGTTTTTTGAAATTTGTTAATTAAAATTAATTTTTTAATTAAGGGGTTATTTCAATTTTTTTTTTCTTTTCCTTAAAAAAAAAAAAAATTCTAAAGAATTTTGCAGAGATATAAAGTTTGGTTGCAGGATCAATTTTCAGATGACATTTTCTGGTGCAAAATTCGAGGTGGTGAAGTTCGACGGAACTGGTAACTTCGGATTGTGGCAAACCAGGGTGAAAGATCTGTTGGCGCAACAGGGAACCTTGAAAGTTCTGCGGGCAACAAAACCAGATGTCATTGAGGATGAAGATTGAGAAGAATTGCAACAGCGAGCGGCAGCGACGATACGCCTATGTCTGACAGATTAAGTTATGTATCACGTGATGAATCTGAAATCTCCAGGAGAAGTTTGGAAGAAATTGGAAACTCAATTTATGGCAAAATCTCTGACGAAGAAGTTGTATCTGAAACAAAAGTTGTATGGGCTGAAGATGCAAGAAGGGTCTGATCTGGCGCAGCACGTGAATGGCTTCAATCAAATAATCACAGATCTGTCACGGCTTGATGTGAGTATTGAGGATGAAGATCGAGCGATGATTTTGTTATGTTCGTTGTCATCTTCCTATGAACACCTGGTGACAACTCTGACATATGGGAAAGAAACTATCAAAGTGGATGAGATTACTGCAGCGTTGTTGGCTCACAACCAGCGGAAGCAGAATGCAGGGGGAAGCTCTCACGGTGACAGTTTATATGTGAAGAGTAAGCAGGATCGTGGAAGGAAGAAAGAGAAGGAGAGATCTGGAAGGCGAAATTCCAGATCAAAGTCTAGAGGCAAAAAGGAAATTCATTGTTATAAGTGCAAAGAGTCAGGTCATATGAAGAGAGATTGTCCAAAGCTGAAAAAGCAGACTGGGAAGAAAGGTGATACTTCATCAAAGTCTGTGAATGTGGTGCAGAATGAAAATTCAAATTGCAGTGATGGCGATATGCTCTCAGTTTCATCAACTCAGTTCACGGATGCATGGATTCTTGATTCAGGGTGCTCTTATCACATAACACCTAACAGAGAGTGGTTTACTTCATACAGGTCAACCAATTCTGGCTCAGTCTATTTGGGTGATGATAGATGTTGCAATATAGTTGGTATTGGAGAAGTCAGAATTCATATGTATGATGGCACAGTTAGAACGGAATTGAGTTCAACATTATGTAATATAAAAGATTTGAATGGTTAGAATATAAAATGCAAAATTTAGTTCTTTGATATGTAGATGCATAGGAGCTGAGTGGTACATTTGTAAATGCCCCAAAAAGACAATAATACTTCATAAGGAGAATTATTGTGGTTTAGTTCCACCAGTCAAAAAGACAATTTTCACTTTCTAACCATCAAAATTTCAACTTGATTTCATCAATAAGAGTATGCCACTAGATATGGAGGATGCCCAGGTAGAAGAAAGCCCCAGCATCAACTTTTATTTTTAAGAAATGCATATTAAGCTATCAGATAGATGAATCTCACCCTATTTTCGATGCTAGGATGCCGAAAACCGGCATTCACTCGACCTCGACCGGCTCCATCGGTTAAGACACTGCAATCACCTTTAGCTTTAAAAACTTCATAAACGCTCAAACAGCACTTTCAGAGAGTTCATCTGCAAATAAAGACTTTGCATGGTAGATATTAGCCTCATTAAGGTGGGGGTTTCTGAGAACATTTCGCCGCAAAGAAACAAATGTGATGGGTAGATTCATTAAAACAACAATTTGCGCCTTTTGTTTAGCATGTCAAAAAGAGATGATAAAACAGCAAATAATCGCTCACAGGCCACCATTTTTAACTTAGATCCAAGAATTTAAATTTGCAATAAAAAACAAATATTCTTCAAACCGCAGCTGCTTTGGACTCCTCTGCAGCTTCTTCGAATGTCGCACCATGCACGAGCTCTGGGACGTCGTCATCGTCTTCTTCATGGTGGTTGGCACCAGCACCGGCGGCTGCAACAGCTGAAGCAGCATCTGGTGTCTGCTTCTGGAACTGCTCTGCAAGCCTCTTCAGGTTGTCCAAATTATCAGAACCTGAGATTAAATAAATATAAAGGTAAGCTCAACCAACGTTAAGTTCAATATCAAATGATTGAGCAGAACAAGTTTGAAGCAAAATTCCTTGCAGCATCCGAAACATTGCTATTTACAAATCTAGCACCCTCTTTCGCCCATTTTTCAAATTCTCACTCAAATATCAAAATTCGTGATAAAACCCCAACCCATATTTATCATTTTTATCAAATTCTCAATGATTTGATGGTGGTACGCGCAAATACGTCAGTTCATTAGTTCAAAAAAATCGTTTGGGTGTTGGACTTTATAAATAGTAATATTTTGCATGCTATGTATGTAATTATCGCTTGTTTTTTTACTAGGAAGTTTTTTTAAGATCATTTAGTTCAGAAAACTGGCAACTGATATACCAAATTTAATTTGGAAGGAACTTATTTCCAAAGAAAGAACTGTTAAAATTTGCAAGGATTTTGGATTTAATTATAGCATTCAGTCAATGGTCATCAAAATTTTAATAGGAATATTTACGTACATAACCACTCAATTCCTACATATTTACCTATCTAACACCTAAACTTCAACTTTTACATGCAAGCCACCTTTCGAGCTTGCCTATGCATGAAAAGGTGTATTTCTTTTTTTTTTTAGTTAAAATAGTGGTATTTTTGAAGTGATGGGAAAGGTTTGGGTGGTGTTATTGTAAAAATCAAAGTTTAGGTGTTAGATATGTAAAATACATAGGAGTTAGCTGGTTAAATTAAAAAAGCTCCAAACAAACTCTACCCATAATTTTTGCTGTGTATCTTAAACTAAAACCATATTTACAGACGATGTAGAAGTACATAAAAGGTTATGCCACCCAAATGTATCATTTTGTTCGTCTGCGTAAGTGGAAATAATCTGTAATATTTTCGTTTCTTGACTCACGAGAAAAATTTCATGACAATTTAAGGTTTCATTTGGTTTTTTTGTAGATGATTAAGGGTTCAATCGACATCACAAAACCTCCAACCCCATTCACTTAAAGAATAACTTCTTCAGCATCATCCACAGCTCTAAACCTACATTTGAATCTTCTCTCCATGAAATCTTCTTCTCGGGTTCTTTTTTCGATGTGAATTTAGGGTTTTTAAAGTAATTCATGAAGATCGATTTACAGTTCTCGTTTCGGTACTCTTTTTTCTAAAGCAAACTTACAAACCACCGGTAATTTAGTGAAAAAATCCCCAAAAAAGTTTCTTATTGCACCAAGAAACCAATCTTGGGAAAGCCATAAAAAAATAGATTAGTATATTTGTGCTAAACTTATATTTTCAGCACCTTACTGTTAGTTCTGTTTATAAAACAAACTCCAACAATTACAAGAAGGGTTGATATTAAATCAACATTCGGTGAAAAAACTCAAGGCAAAAATGAATTAAATGAATCAAAAATTGAATTTTGTAGGTGTTAAGAGTATTCCACTACAAATGGCATGCAACTAGCCTATGGCTTGATTATAATAGGACACATCAATAAATGGCAAGTCATAACTTAATTCAATTGTGATGAAAGAATAAGCAATGATTTGATAAGATTTCATTTAACAAAATTATGTTGAAAAGTGGGCAAGGTTAACTAAATCAAAAAAAATAAAAAGATTTGTTGCAGGAAATTGGGAGACTTTGAATGAAAAGCAAAGAAGCAAAGAAAATGAGTGTGGAAAGTTATAAGAATGAAAACATATTGCTTGTTACAAGAAAACAAAAATAAAAGGGGCAAATCAAAGGATTATAGGAAATATTATAAGCCATTGTATGTACGAAGATTGACAACATTTATGAGAAAAGAACAATAATTGATAAAAAAATTGAAAGATACTTTTTTTAATATGAAGGGATTATTAATAGGATTATTTCTGACAGAAGAAAGATGAGTAGGTACTTTTTTTAATATGAAGGGATTATTAATAGGATTATTTCTGACAGAAGAAAGATGAGTAGGTACTTTTTTTAATATGAAGGGATTATTAATAGGATTATTTCTGACAGAAGAAAGATGAGTAGGTACTTTTTTTAATATGAAGGGATTATTAATAGGATTATTTCTGACAGAAGAAAGATGAGTAGGTACTTTTTTTAATATGAAGGGATTATTAATAGGATTATTTCTGACAGAAGAAAGATGAGTAGGTACTTTTTTTAATATGAAGGGATTATTAATAGGATTATTTCTGACAGAAGAAAGATGAGTAGGTACTTTTTTTAATATGAAGGGATTATTAATAGGATTATTTCTGACAGAAGAAAGATGAGTAGGTACTTTTTTTAATATGAAGGGATTATTAATAGGATTATTTTAAGGCTATTTAAGGAAATACCTTAACATATAATAGTTTTTTATGCATTTTCAGAAGTATAAAGAAACCAAAATAAAATTAATTCTAAGAAGTCTTCATGGTGAAGTAAAAAACTTATGAAAATAATTAAAGAAAGAAACAAGGTGTTTTGCCTTAACTTCTCATAAATAAGGCAAGTATAAGATTATTAGAATATTTATCAAGCAAAGTATGAACATATATGCTACAGTTTGGCTCGAGCTCGAACTAAACACAAACAACTTATGATACAACCAAGCTAAATCCAATTCATGACATACTCGGCTCGACTAATAGCCTTAGTTGGACTAATCAATATTGAAATTTTAAGTTTTATAACCAATGCATAGCAAAGTTTGTCAAAATGAACTTTTTTTTTATCATAGATGAATGATAGATTGATGATGTTACATAAGTTCCTGTAGATGTGTTTCATCTGGCCTTAAAAGAACTCCATGGGAAAAAAATTGTTGTGTATTAGAGGTGAAAAAATACATTTGACAAAGCAAGGACAAACTAAAATTTTTAGTAGTGCAAAAGTCTATTCTATAGGTAAAGAACTTGGGCAGGACAACAAGCCTAGAAGAAGTTGAACATCTACTTCAACTATAAAACCATGGACCTTCATCTAACAATATTCTTTGAAACAGAAGAGGAAGAAAAAACTATTAAAAGCAAAAGATGAACAAGCTGCCCTCCTGAAAACTAAAAAACAAGAGAGATTAATATCAATTCAGGAAGTAACCATCATAGAGCCAAGCTAGCCCAAAAAGCACAACTAAGTATAATGCATCTTTGTCCATTTGCAGATTCAAATGAATCAAAAGGGTGAGCCAAATTCCAAGAAGGGTACATCATCAAATCAGTATGATCAAACTGAAAGTCCAAGCAAAATCTAATTTAAAACCAAGGTTAAATTTAATGTTAAACTCAAGTCAAGCCCATAAATTAAATTAGTTGCATGAGACAAATAGAGACACGGTGACAGCAAAATGCACTACAAATTAAGTTCAAGAAGGTCATTTAAAATGCAAAAACCAAGCCCACCCACATATTTAGGGAGCAAACATCATATCAAGGATACCGAAAAAGTTCTATGAAAATTCAAATTCAAAAAAAAAAAATCACGATAAAACCAAAGATTCCATTTCTACTACAGCCACCAAGAAATACTTCATCAAACACAGAAGGAGGGGACGGAGCGAGCTAATATCCAATATTGATAAATTTAACTTACACATAAGAGTTCTAATTATACAGGATAATAAGAATAATAATTTCCCTCTCAAAAAATTGACTTACCATGAATGATAAGAGGAAATCCTTCTTTATCGTTTATCATGTTCATCTTAGGTATCGGGCCTCTAACAAATAATAGCTAGTTTGAGTTTATTTAAGCATTCAAGCGTTCTTGAATTTCTATTTATTTGTGTGTGTGTGTGTGTGTGTGATACACACACTTTACTAAACATTTAGATCACTCAAAGACCTCGCCAACTTGCAAGTCCCAATGACCACTTCCGCTCCTCAACGCTATATATGCTGATAAATTTCTCTCTAAAAGGCGTCTTCTCTTTCTCTAGAAGGCGTCTTCTCTTTCTCTAATTTCTCATTAAACCCGAGAGATCAAGGAATGAAAGGAGAATTTGGAGCATTCAAGAAAGTAAGAAGGCATTCAAGGAAGACATGAAACATGAAACTGAACAAGAAAAAACCAAAAAAAACTAAATAGAAAAGAATCAATGGGGGGGCTTCAAGAGAATTCTACATCAAGATTTCTACATACGGATTGGTAAGGCTACAAAAACACTAATCTGTATTTCAAATCTCATCCCTCTTATTACTTTCTCTTATTAATTTCTACACCAACACCTTATACAGCATCCTCTAGTTGGCTAATCCTTTTACAATAAGCTAACCAAATTCTGTGTCTCCTATTGTAAGGCCCAACTACATCAATTCCCATGAATCCTAGATTGCATTTACCATATGAATTCAATTCTTTAAAAGAGTCCATCTTTAAACTTGGTAACCGTATATTTGGTGCTTTAAAGATCAACATCATCCATGTCCTTCATACTAGAAACATGCATACACCTCGTTTGCATCTAGAGTTGGAGAACCGACTATCAACTCATTCTCCTCAATCCTAGATCAACATGCAACACATTCAGAATCCAATCTTTTATTAACAATAAAAAAATTTTAGACTTACTTTTCAAATGATATGAAGAAAATAATTTTAAATGGCAGTTATGTAAGACGTGTTTAGAGAACACCACCCAATTTAAGAATGATTTTCAAACAATATATATTTTTTAATCATGAAACACTTTTATCATATGAAGTAAAAACAACATCATTTGTGAGGAAGAATGATAATCCCTTGGCTCAAAGTGCAACAAATTGATGATGTCATATTCACAAGTAAAACCAAAAAAATGAAGAAATTACTAAAGAGGTTTCACATGAAGAAGATTGCACTTCAAGAAGATTGAAGAATTTGGCATGCATATGAGCCCACTCATAAAGCGTAACAACTATCACAAAAGGAAAGTTCATTGAAACAAAGTACACAGAAATATGACAGGCTCATTTAAGATATCTGACATACTGATCAATGTTTAAAAGGGTACAATACTTAAAAAATAAACAATAAAAAAATAATAAAAATAAGAAAACTTGTCTAATTAAAATAATACATATTATTAGGTACCTAAGTGTCCCACAAACAGTTATAGTATCCTAGAAATGCATGTTCAAGTAAGCTAGAGGGTTTCTCCAATGCAAGTTGGAAAATCAAATTAAAAAAAATCACCACTGGCACCAGGCAAATTCTTCAGTAATGCATAATTTCTTGGTAACATAGAAAGCCTAAGAAATAAACCTTTGATTTATCAACAATGTCAGCAAACTATGTTGTTGCAAGGAGTTGTGTTGCAAAAATCCAATAAAGCAATGATAACAAAACTTCAGCATTCAATTAGGAAAAATTCCCTTTAAATATGAAAATACTAGCGTCACTAGTCTCACAAAATATCCAAATAACAAGGCTAAAACTAAACATATTGAAATTACAAATCATTTTAATGTGGGCATATCCGTTAAAGGTTGTGACAAATCCATCAAAGGTTGGCATCCCTTTTATAATTATCTTGCTTTATGCGGGCTGGTTTTAATATGGGCTTGTTTTACCTTCATTCTTTTTAAAAGTGCAAATTTATAATGTGGGCAGTTTTCCTTCAAAGTTCTTGATAAATTGGACCTAAAAAAGGGCAACCACAGCAACTGGAAGCCGTAGACCATTTTTGGAAAAAAAAAAAAGCAAGTAGGCTTACAGGCATTCCAGTGCATAGGTAGCAAACAATAGTTTCACAAAACTTAAACTCCATAACAGATCCGCCGTTCAATTGAGCTAAGATAACTTTTCCTGTGCAGGAATACAAGGTCCTTCTAGTGTTCACTTCTTATTTAGGTTCCTTGTAATTCTTAACCCACTTTATTTTTTTGGGAATCTACAATTGCTTTCCTAAGAAACTTGAGGTCATTAAGTAGTGTCAAAGATTATAGGTAGATGGCATTCTTATCTATTCGCTGTTAACTGGGGTAAACCGTGCATATAAAAAGTAACTTGTTTTTAGCTAATGCTAAACCACCTATTTTTTTATGATACTAAGATTTAAATTTTCAAAATATCGTATAATACGACTCATCAACCAAACTTGATTTGTTTCAGAAAGCAGGTAAATAAAGACGGCTAGCAGTATTTTTATAACAAATAATATGCAACAAGCATGCTAGAATGGTTAATAACAGGATCAAACATTTTTGAAAGCAGAAAAATGAGAAATCTGATCCAAGTTGATAAAGAGTAAAATTGCAGAAGGTTACAAAAGAAATAAAAAAAAAGTGAAACATAGTTCAGAATCATACCCAAATGACTGAGGATTGAAGGTAGCAAATCTTGAAGTCCTGTCAAGAAAAAATGTGAAATGCTTAAAAAAAATAGCCAAGAAAACAATAACTTCAAAAACATACCTGATAATTTTTGGCTGTATAAATAAAATGATCGTAAATATTAGCGCACACACCCACAATGGTAGTAGTTTTTTGTAATAATAATAATGGCCATGATCATCATAATGACAATAAAAAAGATAATAATAATGGGAAACTTCATCTTTAACACCCTAAATTTGGTCATTTATAAAACTAACACCCAAATACCACCATTTGCAATAGCATAACCCAAATATCAAAAAGCACAAGAAAATTTCAACTTGTAATTTTTTGCTTCCCTTAAGTTGGCCATAGCATGAATAAATGCAGGGGCTCACTAATTTGTTTATTTGGGTTAGTTAATAGTTTAATAAATAGCAATTTTTGGGTTCTATAAATGTAAAATTTTGGTTGCCAGACTTATAATTTTCCCTAACAATAATAAGACAGCTGAAAGCAGCAGACCAAATTCACAAAGGTAATACAACAATAACAAGCCCTTACTCCACTAAATGGGTCAGCTACATGAGTATTATTTCTCCGTTGTGTCCTATTGAGTATCATTTTCATTTAATTCTAATAAATTAATATCATTTTTTATACACTATGCCCAAGTGTTTTTAGGTCTGCCTATGCCTTTTTTAACATAAGTTGAATCTAAAACATCTACTCTCCAAACCGGATCATCAAATGATAGATGTTTAATGTCACCAAACCATATGATGACTCTCTCTAATCTTGTCTGTCACTGGAGCAACAACAACCCTTTCACGAATACATTTGTTTCGCATTTTGTCTCTAAGTGTCAAGCCACTCATCCACCTATGCATTCTCATATCAGCAACACTTAACTTAGTTTTATAATTCTCTTTTAAAGCCCAACTTTTTGTGCCATAAAACATTGCAGCTCTCATCACTATCTTATGAAATGTTCCTTTAAGTCTAGGCAGTAAATTTCTATTACACAATAGGCCGGATGCAGTCCTCCACTTCAACCAACAAACTTGAATCCTACTCCCCATGTATATCACCATCACTTTGAACACATAACAAATTCACAGATGTAATAAGTTACCCTAAACATCTAGTATGCTATAGAAGCAATAATATTTCATTTGATAGATATTTAAAGCCTGAATGCAATCAGATAAGATATGAAAGTACTTTTTGTTTGTGGAGCGCCACTGACAACCCATGTATTGGCTGCTATCGAAGCTTGCACTGAGAAAGAAAAAAAAAATTAGCAAATAAAAGAATTTATTCTGTTGCAGGAAACTTTGGGTCTCAAGCGAATTTCAATATTTACCTTTTGGATTCTGAAACTGGATTACAGTATCATCTTTGAAAATATTGACTTCTTCAATTGCAGGAATAGGATTTACACCAATCCTCTTCAGTGTGCTCTGCAGTCTCTTATCATCCGTTGTTGTAGTCTTGTGAACTGCCTTCTTCTTCCTGCATGATATCAGATTGAAGTCATTGAAAATCCTATAAACAGAAAGATGTTGAAGTTGCAGTGGTAGTCAAAAAGAAATTTGAACCTTATAAACTCCTGAAAATCAATAATTCAAATGACTATGGCAATAGAATCGAGCAAAATTTACTTGCATACAACACAATTGATATGTGTTTACATATCTTACACCTAAAATTTCATATTTATATACATAGCACTTTGGTGCTTTAAACCTACGCATGAAAAGATACATTTCACTTTCAAAAATTGCAGTGGTGTTATTATTTATGTAATATTAAATATTTGAGTATCATTTGTGTAAATATGAAAGCTTAGGTGTGAGATATGTTAAAACAGAGAATTGTGTGCTATGTATGCAAATGCCCCTAAAATCAATAACAACATGTGAATGTACATTTTTTCAGAAACACTTTAGTTTCAATAACATAGTAACAAGGCAAGAATTAGCACCAATTGGCTGCAAATATTGACAGAAGAAAACAAATATTTGAACAAGGAAGAGTCCTCAATTCATCTTCCTACACCTAAGCCCCTTTTATCACCAGCTTTACTACAGAAGTAATAATCCTCGGACATTACATGCATACTATATGACTTCAGCATCATATTAAAAGTGAATGGCATGACAAACCTACATAAAAATTCTATAAAAAATTCTTCGTCTATATGAGATCAGGACAGGACAAACCTGCGCATGCTGCCCTTTCCGCCAGTGCGGACTGCTCCGGCCATCTTTTGGAGCCTCTCAACATTCATCTGCATAAGAGAACCACACATGGCATAAGAAAAGGCAGAAAGAATGATAAGCATGAAGTACGGAATCTAATGTTTTAAAAAACTGCATTAAGGAGCTGTTTGATCCACTGTCTATGAAATCATGTATTATGTATAAAAACGTGATATCTTTAAAGTGAAATAAGTGCCATATGGTTTGCTTTTGCTGATTGTAAACATTATCAAGAACACAACAAATCTATAGTAAATATGGAGAGGCAATCAGTGCTTTCAAAGGCAGCTCACTTAATATTATGTCAAGTTGAAATATTTGAATTCTTGAATTCCCTATAATGAATATAGGTACTTACGTAACCATATTTTCATATGAAGAGAAAAATAAACAAAATTAGTGTGATCAATAAGTTTATTGATAATTATTGATCGTGTAATAGATAAAATTCATGAGTGATGGGCATGTTAAGCAGGAAGTACGAATTTAAGGGTTTAGAGTTTTTAATACAACCTAGAATGATATGCAAAATGAAAATAAAATCACAATTTGTAGGCTACTCACAACAAATTTGCCGCTTTTAATTTAAGGACATCAAATACAGTTTGCTTATTCCAAATGATAATTTAAAAACCACCCAAAAATCTGAAATTCCATAAAAAAATAACAGTAAATGATAAAACTAAGCAACTATCAAATCCCATTACAAAGAGAATACTAACATGTACCTCAATTGACAAAATTTCAATCAACATGCAAAACTAATGACTATTCAACTTAAAAATACAAGGATAAGAATAGAAATAAGACTTTAGAAACAAATGTAGAATGTACAATAAATGAGGGTCACAACAAGAAAAATAAATTAGAGGAGACAGATTTTGTGTTAGCCATAGAAAATAAAGCTAATAGTAATGAGCTAATAATGACGGAAAACATCTTAAAGTTAACCAAAAGCTTGGAAGGGAATTTTATAGAAATACAAAAACAACATAAAATAAGCATATATTAGTACCGTTGTTCAAAAATGTGCAATATGAGGAGTGCCTTGAGACCCGCCTCAACGCTTTATATAAAAAATCGCACTGAGGCTTGAGCCTCATTATCCCAAGGTGAGGAATACGCCTCACCCAGGTTGAAGTGCGCCTCTCACCCAGGCTAAGGCGCCCCTAAAAGTAATATCAATATACCTCACATATTAATCCTCACACGCAGTACACTAAATAACATGAAATTAAAAAAAAATGTATCCATAAAAAATTATGTAGTTGAAGTTCAAACTATCAACATAATTATTATTTTAATTAATATTTTTATCGATGATTAATGATTAAAAATATATATAATTAGTATTAAAGATGATGAGTGGGAGAATATATATGAGATAAGGATATGACGTGAGATAAAAAACTCATTACGCCGTTGATTTTAATGATAAACAATTGGGTGATGAGAGTAACAAAGACTTTTCAATTTAAAAATTCAAATATTGATGAGTTGTTATGTTCTGGTTTAAGTGGTGGTAGTATGAGTTGGAGAAAATAACTTATATTATACTTACTTTTAATATCTTAGTTTAGTTGAATGGTTTAATGTTTGTATAACTAATCTTATTTCATAATTTGCTTTTAGGAAATTAACAAGTTACTTCTAATTTTACGCAATTTATTATTTTTTACTTTATTAAAATTCAAGATGTTGTTATAATATTTTTTTAATATATTAATATGTTATTTCTTACTTTAGACTTTATAGTTTAAACATAGTTTTTTTAACTTACACAATTTTTAAAATTTGAGGCTTACACTGGTAACGTCTTGAGGCTAATGTCTCACCTCACAAACTAAAAACGTATCAATATCCATATACGCAATTTTAAACCTTCATTAGTACCATTTAAAATTAACTTTAAAAATTTATTTGTTTCGCAAATAATAATTCATTTATGGCGCTTATTTCACCTAAATCAATAGCATAAACAGGCAGTATTAACATCTAATAATCGTAAGTATAATTGTTGAAACAACCTGTGATAAACTTCATAAAGCTTCAATGCTACAATGGATTAATTCTATTTTATGCAAATTATTATGCAAAACTCATGCTAATGTAAAGCTTCGTTTACATAATTTCCTTAATAATTCTTCCATATCAAAAAAATCTAAAATATGTCAATTCTATCGGTGCTAGACGTGCAGGTTCTATCCATTACTATACGTGTCCAAAGCACCTTCATTTATTTCTATTATCTTACTACAGGTGATTTGTTTGCCATCAACTCTTAAAGATAATCATTTATGAATAGTATTACCTCACATCTAAATTAATAATCAAATTTGAATCACACTCAACTATATAGTTATTGCGTTATTTCTTACCAAACACTTCGATCCATATAAAATAACCAATATAATTGTAATTTTATAATATATCAACGAGTTTCGATGATATTCTCTTATCACATGATATTCTCCTATCAAATTTTCATGAATGTAAATGTATATGTGTATATATATGTCGATCCATATAAAATAACCAATATAATTGTAATTTTATAATATATCAACGAGTTTCGATGATATTCTCTTATCACATGATATTCTCCTATCAAATTTTCATGATTGTGTGTGTGTGTGTATGTGTGTGTGTGTGTGTGTGTGTGTGTGTGTGTCTCTATATATGTAAATGTGTATATATGTATATGTGTATATATATGTATGTCTCTATATACGTATATGTGTATCTATCTATCTATCTATCTATCTATAGATACATACATACATACATACATACATACATACATACATACATATAAAACTCATCTTGGAATATATTTTTACAAGTGCACTAAAGCAATAGTGGCAAAATATTTGCACATCTCTTGGGCCATTTCCTTCTCCCTTTAGAAAGGAGAACTCAACTACACAAGAAAAACAACCCGACAAGATCAAGTAATAGGTGAAACTGGTACAAAAGCACACGGAAATAGCCTACAAACTACCGCTTTGCCTACCACTTCCGTCAACCACTGGGCAAGATATGCCGATAAATAACACTGAGGAGCGGAAAACGGGGACCAGAGTCCTAGAGTGCAAAAAAAGAGATTAGGATGCATAAGGTATCTTCTCACGACAATAAATTATAGCAAGTTCATGTGCCTCAGATGTCAGACACTGCAGCGCGATGGAAATGAGTCCCGGAAACAAAGAACAGTGGGCAAAAACACCTTAAATAATCGAAGTTACAGAGTCCAAACATGGAAAGCGAATCAAATTCAACTAAACCTCATCTTCCACGGGTCAAATGGGTTTAAGCTACCAAATAAAGAAAGAAAATGGTCAAATTGACTGCAAGTATCTCATCAGAATCAATCGAGAATCGTAACAAGTGGATAAACAGAATCAAAGTTAGGGTTAGAACATCCGAACACCTGCGTGCGTGTTGAGATAGTCTCACCTCGCTACGCCGGGGGACTAACTGAAGGAGCTTAGGGTTTTGCAGCCGCTCTACCAGCTCGCAGTGTTATCCCTATAACACTGTATGATTCACTAAAGACTAATCCGGACCAGATCCGCCCCTTATCCGACCAGAAATAACCGATTATTTAAACGGTTAAATATATATATATATA